GCACGAATTGAAATACGAATTGAAGCACAAAAGGACAATCGCAATAGGATGGACAGACAGACAAGATAACAACTACAACAAAAACAACACATATTGTCATATTGACAGGATACCTACAAACAACAACAAAAATAAAACAAAGCAGCAATGTCAAGTAAATGGAAAGCCACAGGAGAGGCAATTGGATGACGAATAGTCGAAAATTGTCAGTCAATTAAATATTGACTTTGAATAAAGTCGGGTTACCAGCCATGGCGTCGGGGGAGATGGGGGCCAAATGAGCCAAGAATCCATGGAAAAGGGAGTGGGTGAAACACCACCTCCCTCCAACCCCCCACGGGAAGGGAAGACATAAAATAGACTTAAATTGAGTTTTGAGAAATGACGTTGTTGTGGGAAAACTATTCCCAAAGAGTAGGAGGAGGAGAAAGAGTAGGAAGGAAGCCAAACACAACAGCAAGCTGATGTCATAGTTTGGAAAATGGAAAAACAATATTGAAAAAAAAAAAAAAAAAACAGGCATTGAAACTGGCCTTAAGGGCAGAAAGAGATGGAAGATAAGGTCTAAAAGAAATGCAAGGGAAGTTAAGAAAAATTGTTCTTCTTTTCTCTCTGTCACATCTCCAGCAAACTAAGTTTTGAAAAATAGATTACCCTCCTCCCCCCACACAATCCTAACTGGGGTTTAACCCAAGAGTTGTACCAGAAATGAGCTTAAGAGCAAATGGCAAAGAGAAAATGAGAGAGAAAATCTACGTTGGCTGGAAAGAGGGTTGAGTTATCGATGTCATTGATTCACAAAACCCATCAGAGGTTTAATCCTGTTATAGAAAAATGTGTATGAAATGTGGTAGATAGAAGGACGAGAATAATATCTAGATTTGTGTTTTTGTTGTCAAGCTTCATTCTATGAATGGTTTAGGGAGTGTGTGTGTGCCGAGTGTCTGTGTGACATCAGGATGTGTTCAAAACGAGAATGCTAAACCGTGATGATGACGCCACACGCACTCACACACACACAGAGGGAGAATACCCATAGGAAATTAGGCACACAAAATTGACAGGGTTGCCATACTTTGGAAAAAATATTGGTGATTAGAAAAATTGGTCGGAAAATAAAAAATAGGTCGAATTTAGCAAAATTTATTTATTAACTTTTTTTAATGAAAAATTGAATAAAATGCGGAAATTTGACAGAGTTGCCATTTTAGGGGGGATCTTTAGCAAAGTAGTTTTAAATGTTTTGGGAATATTTGAGACGTATGAAAACCTTTTCAAAGCCCTTCATTTTATGGGGTATAATTTTCGGAGTACAATTTCTTAAAAATACTCTTTGGAGTTATATTTGGGGTACAGAATCTTTGGTAATCTTTTACAGCTGATAAAAATATTTTCAAAAATGCTGAAAGTACTGTACTATAGAGAAAAACACTTTCGGAGCCACTTCGCGCAGGGAAAAATAATATTGGAGTTAATTTTTCGTGAGTAAAATTATTTTACGGTGATTTGGTGTAAAACAAATTATTTTTAGAGTCACTTCGTACAGAGAAAAATAATTTCGGAATTATTTTTTATGGGGAAATATATTTCTAGAGACCTTTGGTATAAAGAAAATTATTTTCGGAGTCATTGACTATGGGGAAAATACATTCGGAGTCCTTCGTGCAGAGAAAAATAATTTCAATATTAAATTTTCAGGAGAAAAATTATTTTCGGAGCCACTAACAATAGAAAAAAACACATTCGGATTCACTTCGTATGGAGAAAAATAATTTAGGAGTTAATTTTTCACGAGGAAAGTTATTTTCGGAGTCACTTCGAACAGAAAAATATAACTTCGGAGTTAATTTTTTGTGGGGAAAATTTTTGGAGTTATTTGATATAAAGGAAGATATTTTCGGAGTCTCTTACTAAAGCGTCAGTAAATTTCGGAGTTCTTTTTTGAGGGATGAATGACTTTAGGAATAATTTAATTTAGATTTGACGTCTTTCGGAGTCATTTAAAGCAGAAAAAAAATATTTTTTATATTTTCTATATTCCATGTCATTTACCCAAGTAAAAAATATTTGGAGTCATTTAAAATAAATTAGCAAATTTTCGGAGTCATTATATCTTGAGAAAAATAATTTTAGAGTCACTGTTCACAGTGAAAAAGTTTTTCGAAGCCATTGGGAATAAAGAAAATTATTTTCGGAGTAATTTTCTAAAGAGGAAATGCTTTTCAGAATCCGATTTTTGAATCAAGCTACATTCGAAATCTTTTATTGTCGTTTATACGTCATTCGGAGTCATATACAATTGGAAAAAAATCTTTCGGAGTCAATGTTTATTCGGAAAATTTTATTCGAAGTCATCTTCTGAAATAAAAAAATCTGTTCGGAGTCATTTAGAATTAATTTGAATACTTTCGGAGTCATTATCTACTGAGAAAATTACTTTCGGAGTCACTGTTCACAGTGAAAAAGACTTTCGGAGCCATTTACAACAGAAAAAATATTTTCGGAGTAACCGAAATGAAGAACACTATATTCTCAGTCATCTACTGAAGTAAAAAACTATTCGAAGTCATTTGGAAGTAAAGAGGATATTTTCGGAGTCATTATCTCTTGAGAAAAAGGCTTTTGGAGGCATTGGAAATAAAGAAATTAATTTTCGGAGTAATTTTCTAAAATTTCGGAGAAGAAAATAATATTTTTCGGAGTGTTTTTCTAAGGAGTCAATAATTTTGAGAGCCCGGTTTATGGATCAAACCACTTTCGGAGTCAGTTACTGCAGAAAAAATGATTTTCGGAGTCACTGTTTATGAAGAAATCTAAAGTCCCCGTCATCTACTAATGTAAAAAAATATTCGGAGTCATTTAAAATTAATTAGCAATCTTTCGGAGTCATAATATTTTGAGAAAATTAATTTCGGAATCACTGCTCAGAGATAAAAAGATTTTCGGAGTCATTGGGAATAAAGAAAATTATTTTCGGAGTCATTTTCTAAAAAGGTAATGATTTTCGGAGTTCGGCTTATGAAGCAAATGACTTTTGGAATCATATATTCTGATTGATGCGTCATTCGGAGTCAGATGCAATTATAAAAAATTCTTTCGGAGTCAGTTACTAAAGAGAAAAGATTTTCGGAATTACGGTCTATTAGGAGAATTGTGTTCGAAGACATCGACTGAATTAAAAACTCTGTTCAACGTCATTTAGAATTAATTTGAATATTTTCGGAGAAATTTTCTAAAGAGCTAATCATTTTTGAAGTCCGGTTTTTGGAGTAAATGACTTTCGGAATCATGTATACGTCACTTGGAGTCAGGTACGATTGGAAAAAAATTAATTCGGAGGAACTGATTACAAGATATACGATTTTCGGAGCCAATGTTAATTAAGAAAACAATTCTCCAAGTCATCTATTGAAGTAAAAATCTGTTCGGAATCAGTTAAAACACTTTCAGAGTCATTTATTCCGAATTGGGAGTCATAAATAGTGATAAGAAGACTTTCGGAATAATTTTGGGAGTCATTCATTCCAAATTCTGGGAGATTTACACAAACGAGATTCCTTTTGAAGTATTTTTTTATTCCTTTAATCGAAATTCGGAGTCATTTTAAATAATTAGAAGACCTTCGGAGACATTCAATTTTAATTCAGAGTCATTTATTCCGAATTCGGAGTCATAAATGCTGATAAGAAGACTTTCGGAGTCACTCATTCCAAATTCTGGGAGATTTAAACAAATGAGATTTCTCTTGGTCTAATTTTTTATTTTTTCAATCAAAATTCGGAGTCATTTCAATTGATTAGAAGACTCTCAGAGTCATTCAATTCGAATTCGGAGTCATTTATTCCGAATTCGGAGTCATAAATATTAATAAGAAGACTTTCGGAGTCATTCATTCCAAACTCTGGAAGATTTACATAAATGAGATTTCTTTTGGAAATTTTTTTTATTTTTTCAATCAGAATCCGGAGTCATTTCAATCGATTAGAAGACCTTCGGAGTCACTCAATTTTCATTGACGAAACAACTTTCCGGTTTCCGAGTCATTTATTGATTAGGTGTCGGTGTCGTCCATTTCGATTTTCGGGTGATTTACATAAACGAGATTGCTTTAAGACTATTTTTTCATTTTTTCAATCAAAATTCGGAGTCATTTCAATTGCTTAGAAGAACTTCGGAGGTATTCAATTTTCATTGACGAAACAACTTTCCGAGAAATTTTCAAAAACCTTTGAAACCAATGATTTGAAATGATTTGCTCCAAATTGTGAGTATTTTTTTTTAATTTCGACGTCTTTTACTCCGAAAAACGTTAATCTATTCGGAATGATTTCCATTGGAATGTTTAATATTAAACATCATTTTTAATTCATTTTTTGATAATGAAATCCATTTTTGGGTATTTTAATTTGGGTATTTTAATTTCGGACTCCGAAAAAAAATTTAAATATTCGAAGTAGTTTCCATTTCAATTTTCAGCATTCAAAATCATTTGAATTGTTTTAAATTGTTTTTTTTTTCATTTTAGGGTATTTTCATTTTGGTATGAGAAAAAATCTCTCTTGGCAACCCTGGTACACACAAGTTAGGTTTAGCTTGCCAGAATTGAGGGGTGAAAATCTGCAGTTTAAACGCAGGGCACACTCAGACACACCGCGCACACACACAGACACACAAACTAAGACCCATCCTAATAACAACAACAACAGCACAGCCTTAGAAATTTCCTTTCAAAGGACGTCAATACGAATGGGTGTGTGTGTGTGCGTATTTGATTATAATACAGACTTGAGACAGATGTTGGCTTACAATGGAATGAAAAAATCCTGTATTGAGTTTCAAATGCAAGGAATCGAGGAATTTCTTTACCCTGAAAAAAACAGGCTTTGATGGATGGGTGGAGGAAAATGTCTTTTTCCAAGAAAATTCATGAAATGGATCTTATAAGAAAAAATAATAAAATAATTATTTTTTATTAATATAAATATTGTGTAAATACTTACCAATATCCTTAAATGTGTTAAGTTTTTCTCTCCAGCAGGCCCCAAGGTTTCGTTGTGGCTTAAAATGTTTCCAAGTTCTGAGATTTGTATTTCAAATCTTTCTTTGTTGTGATTTTTCTCTCTTTTTTTAAGGTATTGTTATCTATTTTATTCCACAATTACTTTTCAACAAATAATACCATGTGTTTTGTTGTTCCTCATTCACATTGACAACTGCTGCTCTGGGAAAAATGTTCAACTAGAGCTTTGTATTATCCTGCATTGATTTGCTTGTCTTTGCTTCTTTGCACGGCTGTCAGCCTGCCGCCTGCCTGCCTGTTGTTTGTTGGCTACTGCTTCGTTTTTTTTGTTGGCTTTTCCCCATACACTCACACAAACACACTCATATGGTAGATTTTAACATTCACGACTTTCTGTGCCGTACTGCATCACAAAAACAATAATTCTGCGGTTTTTTGCACTCAAACTAAATAAAGAATTCATTGGCTGTCATCTAAATTCCGTTTTCTTCTTTCTTTTATTTTCTATTCGTTTTATTCCCGCGCTCGTTTAACACACACCGTTGTAGTTCTTGCTCGGCTTTGAGCTTAACTTTGTCATGTTGCGATTTGTTTTGTCACTGCTTGCTTGCTTGTTGTATGTTTTTGCCATTTGTATTTTGTACTACCTCCCTATGGTGTGGATGAGATTTTCGCTTTCCACCCATTTCTATTAACCCATCTGTTTTGTTTTTGTTGTCAAAAAACAACCCCCAACCAAAGGGGAGACGAGTTGCCATATGTGGCAAATGTCATAACGGTGGGGCTTGCCAATTGTAATATTCCGTCATGCTGCACTGTTTTATCGACATTCGTCAATTGAATGTATAAAGTGACCCGGCCACACATTGAATTATTAATAACATTGTAGTAGAGTGGCCGGGTCACACATCAATTTTTGTTGTAAAATGCAAAATTCATGTCTTGATCTTGTAAATTCACTACGCAGTGTTGCTGTATGGTGTGGAAAACGTAAAAAACAGCAAAATATGAGAAAAAGGCTACTTAAAGATTAAAAATCATAATAACAATAAGAAATCGTTTAAATAAAAATTAGATATCATTGACATTAATCCCTTTGTATAATAAAAAGGGGTGGTGGAGCTACCAGCTGACTAGAATTTTTTGACATAGTGTGTCCAATTTCTGTCAATTTTGTGGTCTTATTCATTGTTGTGAATAATAAAATCAACAAATTTGTGAGAGTGAGGGTACATAAGCAGCTTGAAGTTTTTGGTAGTTTTTGTGCGATGGTAGCCTCCACTCGTATTAATCTACCGTGGCATCAGAATAAATGCCGAATATTATCGCGAATATATATTCTGGAGGGTATATTAAAGCCTTGGTCACGCAAACATTTTGGCCGCAGACCTTGGACATTCCAACAGGACTCAGCACCATCGCACTCAGCACGTGCCACCCAAGAATAGTTACAAAATGAGGTTCCTCGCTTTATTTTCAGCTCACAATGGCCACAATAATCTCCGCATACCAATTCGTTGGACTCAGTTGTGTCTGAAGTATTTTGGAAAGCAAGGTTGGCGCACTAAAAAATACCAAAGTGTCGATCACCTCAAGCAAGCGCTTCGCCGGAAATGGGCCAAAATACTGCAGAGCATCATTCGGGGAGCGAATTTTCCGACATTTTTTTGCTTTCATTCAATAAAATTTAAAAAAATGTTAAAATTATAGCGTTTGTCGTTGTTGTAGTTTTTTATCTCACCTTGTATAGCAGCATAAAATTTTATGTCGATTTAGAAATTTCCGTGCTGTTGGCTAGTCTGTCTTTCCGTCTATGGAAGTCACTCCAGCTTCCAAAGGGAGTGAAGTAGTTGGATAAAGTTTTTCTCAAATATATTTTAGGTTCGAAGAATTTTTGTTACTTGTTTTGGCATAGCCCCCATATAATTGTATTTCCTATAACAGAAAATTGCCTATACTGATCCAAATTTTCGTATATTCCCCATAAATTGTTATCTTCCGATATGTGGTATTTTGCCGATTTTAAAAACAAGCAGGTGTTTTTATTCTTAAATATTTCAAAATTTTCCTTCTTTGTATTTATTGTACCATGGATTGCTTTCTTTTTTCTTCTACTTGTCTAACACACAAACATTATGCATTCTTATTTGCTTATTTTTCTTATTAATTTAACTGCAATTAATTGCCCTCACTCTCCTTTTAATTTACACCCAATTTCCCCTGCTTTCATCAAAAATATCCCCAATGTGGCATATCTTTGCTTTACCCACCGTCATCCCCAACAAATGGCAACATTGTCTCTAACTCACTTGCTGTCAACAATACAACGCTGTATGGTTGCACCGCTTTACCCACCGTCTGACAGCTGTCAAAAAAGTTCTTTTCCGGTTTAATTCACTAAGAAGAAGGTACGATAATTTTCGTAAATGCTATGGAAAAATTGAAAAACATCAAGAAATTAGTGCCAAAGACAAAGAAACTAAAAGTGTTAAACGAAACTAGACAATGTTTGGCATGGAAAAGAGAAAATATTATAAAGTGCAAAGCAAGTGACAATGGAGAAATGTTGAATTATAAAAAATTGCTATTGCTCCCCCCAAAATTGAATGAATGTAAAATAATGTGTTACATCTTTTTGTTTATCTTTTCATGTGTGTGCGTGGTGCGTGGTGTCGTCGTGCAGAAATTAAACACAAACCATGGGTCGTTACTCTAGGGAACCAGAGACAGCCGCCAAGGCTTGCAAAGCCCGTGGACCAAATCTACGTGTGCATTTCAAGGTATGTAAAGGAAAAACAACATCTCAACTGGCAAATGACAACAACATTGGCCGCCAGCAGCAGTAGCAACAACAATTTGACAACTACGTGTGTGAAATGAAGTGATTTTTTTTCTTGTGTGTTTCCCCTCCCATTGACATGTGAAAAAGTAAGGTTAGGTTGTGCGTTGAGTGATTTTTCTGTAAAAATTGTTATAATTCCTGTGGGAAACATGAAAAATTGCTAAAATCTATGTGGAAACCTTGGTGTGGATGGCATCTCAAATCAGTTGTTGGACCTTATCAATGTCTATTTTACAACTTTTGCAAAGATGCCAGATTAAAGAAGTTCCAATTCTATGTGAATTGGAATTTTGGTGGATCAAGCATCAGCAGGGTATGGGAAAGTTTACAATTCCCTTATTCTTCTTAGTCTTGAGTACATTTTTTTACAATTAATGAATCCTTTTATATTTAAAGTAATCGATTTTTGTGGAGGAAGGTCTGGCTAGTCATCAGCGAGGAAGTTGTGAATACCGGAAGTAGCATTTTGGAGAGAATTTAAATGGGGATTTGTTTGGTATTATTAGAGGTGGCCAAGAGTACCTAGGTGATTCAATGTATAACAAATACGAATCCACTTAGCCAAGGAATGTCAATTTAGGCTATTTTGCAACAAAGGAAGAAATGTCCAATTAAAAGGGAACAAACCCAGAATTAGATTAATGTTTATAAGACACCGAAAACAGGGCCTGAGGTTTGAAGTTTTAATTTTCCATTTTTAAACAAATTCTAATTCCATGTTTTTATTTTCAGTCAGTACAAGCATCAATGATTAGTATTTGAATCAAATTGTCAAGAGAATTTAGATGGGATTTTTTTTGGTATCTTTAGAAGAGATCAGTGGAACATAAGTGATTTAATATCTAACAAATCATTTAATATATAACAAATACTTTGCCAAGGAATGTCATCTTAGGTCCCTTGGCAACGAAGGATGAAATGTGTAACTAAAAGGGAACAAACCCAGAATAAAGCTAAAGGTTATAAAAGGTAGTTAAAACAGGGCTTGAGGTTTGAAAATGTATTTTTCCATTTCTAAACAAATTTTAATTCCATGTTTTTATTTCCAATCAATGCAAACATCAATGATTAGAATTTTAATCAGAGTGTGAAGAGAATTTAGACGTGATTTGTTTGGTATCATTAGAAGGGAAAAGTAGGACGGAATGTCACCTTAGGCCAAGGAATGTCAACTTTTAGGCTCCTTTCCTACAAAGGAATTAATTTGCCACCAAAAGAAAAAAAACCAAAATTAATTTAAGACTGAGCTTGAGGTTTGAAAATTTAAAATAGCATTTTTAAACAAATTTTCATTCTATATTTTTATTTACTTTCAGTACATCCATAAAGAGAGGAGATTGCTTTTAGATAAGGAACTATTTTTCCCATCGCAAACTTAATGTTGAACAAAATCTTAATCCCAATGACAAGGAAGGGGAGTACTTACTGTATTACTAGGATAAGCTATAAGCTTGAGTTACACACTTATTCCAGGTTTCATTTAAAAGTCAATTCGGTTTTCAATTATATGGTGGAGTCGACCCACAGCTAGAGCTCAAGTGTTTGGATATATTTTGTTAATTCTTCAACAGAATATTATTTCGTAATTTTTTATTTACATCCACTAATGGCGTTAGTATATGATACGACTACAAACAAGAAACCCTATTTTCCCATGGCAAACCTTAAATTGAACATCTCAATTGCAATGCCATAAGTAATCAAGACAGACTCTTGTAGATTACTGGGGGAATGAAGCTTGAGTTAATCAAAAACTTTAGTCGGTAGCCTCACATCTGGAGTCTGAGGGTTAGGATATTTAGTTTTTCTTTTTTTAATTCTTCAACAGAATATAATATCGTATTTTTTATTTACAGCCAGTAATGGTGTTAGTATATGGTACGACTACGAACAAGAAACCCTTTTTTCCCATGGTAAACTTTAAATTGAACATCCCATTTGCAATGCCTTAAGTAATCAAAAGAGATACTTCTGTATTACTGGGGGAATGCAGCTTAATTTAGTCATAGAATTTAGTTACCATAAAAGGTCCATTTCCAATCTCACAGTAGACTCACAGCTGGAGCTTAAGGATTTAAATATTCAACTGAATATAATTTCCTATTTATACCCTACACCACCACATAGTGGTAGGGGTATTATGTCGTTGTGCATTTGTTTGTAACATGGAGAAGGAAGCGAGATAGACCCATAAGTCGCTTTTGAGAAACTTCATAGAATCATTTTCAGAGTCGATTTATGCATGGTCAGTCCGTCCATCCATCTGTCCATGTATTCTTGCGAACAAAATGCAGGTCGCATTTCTTATCCGATTAAGACGATAATTTACAAACAATGTTTCTTTGGCCCAAGGACGAACCCTATTGAAATTGGCGATAATCGGATCATATTTAGATATAGCTCCCATATATATCTTTAACCGATTTCGGGTTAATTGTGCACCAAATGACCAATATAAGTCTAAATCACCTGAATTTTGGTACATCCCACCGAATTCAGTCTGGAAGCAAGTACATCAAATTTGGAGAAAATCGGTTCAGATATAGCTATAGCTATCATATATAAGTTTCATCCGATTTGGGGTTTTAAGTCCCTCACATGTGTAATATGCACTCCACAACAATGATATTTGGTACCAGATATCAGATACTGCTCGAAAATGCCTCTACCAAATTTGATCGAGATCTGTTCAGATTAGGATATAGCTCCCATATATATCTTTATCCGATTCGGGTTAATTGTGCACCAAATGGCCAATATCAGACCAAATAACCTGAATTTTCGTACATCCCACCGAATTCAGTCTAGAAGCAAGTACAACAAATTTGGAGAAAATCGGTTCAGTTATAGCTGTAGTTGTTATATATATGTTGCATCCGATTTGGGGTTTTAAGTCCATCACATGCGTAATAAGCACTCCACAAGAATCATATTTGGTACCGAACATCAGATACTGCTCGAAAATACCTCTGTCAAATTTTATTAAGATCGGCTCAGATTTAGATATACCTCCAAAATATATCTTAACCGATTTCGGGTTAATTGTGCACCAAATGGATATATATCAGACTAAATGACCTGAATTTTGGTACATCCCTCCGAATTCAGTCTAGAAGCAAGTACATCAAATTTGGGGAAAAAACGGTTCAGTTATAGCTGTATCATATATATATGTTGCATCCGATTTGGGGTTTTAAGTGCCTCACATGTGTAATATGCACTCCACAAGAATGATATTTGGTACCAGGCATCAGATACTGCTCGAATATATCTCTGCCAAATTTTATTAAGATCTGTTCAGATTTAGATATAGCTCCCATTTATATCTTCAACCGATATCGGGTTAATTGTGCATCAAATGGCTAATATAAGCCCAAATGACCTGAATTTCTGGTACATCCCACCGAATTCAGTCTGGAAGCAAGTACATCAAATGTGGTAAAAATCGGTTCAGATATAGCTATAGCTCCAGCGAATGTGTTTCATCCGATTTGAAGTTTTAAGTCCCTCACATGTGTAATATGCACTCCGCAAGAATGATATTTGGTACCGATCATCAGATACTGCTCGAAAATACCTCTGCCAAATTTTATTAAGATCGGCTCAGATTTAGATATACCTCCAAAATATATCTTAACCGATTTCGGGTTAATTGTGCACCAAATGGATATATATCAGACCAAATGACCTGAATTTTGGTACATCCCACCGAATTTAGTCTAGAAGCAAGTACATCAAATTTGGGAAAAAACGGTTCAGTTATAGCTGTATCATATATATATGTTGCATCCGAATTGGGGTTTAAGTACCTCACATGCGTAATATGCACTCCACAAGAATGATATTTGGTACCGGACATCAGTTAATGCTCGAAAATGCCTCTGCCAAATTTGATCAAGATCTGTTCAGATTAGGATATAGCTCCCATATATATCTTTATCCGATATCAGCTTTAAGAAGCAAAAAATAATTTAAAAAAAAATAATTCAGTTTCAAGCAGGGCTAAAAGGCAACAACAGAAATATACCATTTTTATACCAAGTTTAAGAGTTTACCTAGAATAGATAATTAAACATTCCAATAATCTTCCTCCACAAAAGTGACATTTGCATCTTAAATCAGTTCGGGGATTTTTCCATATCCCCCCGGGACTTTTGCAAAGATGCTAGAGCGAAGAAGTTCCTAACCCTCTCACAAAGGGTGTGAACTTTAAATAGCCAAGATTTCACAGAATTTTGGAGTATTAAGTTTATAATTCCAAATGTTCTTCTTTCACTTGGTTACATTAAAAACCATTTTCCATAACATTTTCAAAACTCTTGCAGAACTTTTTATTCGATCATAACTTACAGCATTTATGCGTTAAATGTAAAGTTCTTTCATCTTTTCATTTGACTTTACATTTAAATAAAATGCTAAGATAAACATATTTGACAGATAAACAGTGTCTGAGGCTTAAATTCTTGAGTTTAGACACTACCTGTCCTGTTGAACAATTACAGATTTAAAATTAAATTTAAAGTGGATATAAATTCCAGCATTTTAGTGTAAAAATTTGTTAAGTTGCTATTTTCCGACTCATCAATACAAATTATTTGACAGATAAACAGTGTTCGGGGCTTTGTAACCCTCGGCTTGGACACTACCTGTCCTGTTAAACAAAAATACACAATTCATTCACACAGTCTTTAGTTGGTCAAAATTGTTATAGCATTTCATAATTTTAAAGATAAGTTGATAATTCTCAAAACTTGTCATCTACTTGGAATGCTAAGATTAAAGCTCATTGACAGATAAACAGTGTTTAAGGCTTAAATCTTTGAGTTTAGACACTACCTGTCCTGTTAAACATTTGAAAAACATTTGCCAAATTGTTGATTTTAAATTTGGAACCCTACTAATTTCCCTTTTTTGTTTTTTTTTTCCACTACAGAACACCCATGAAACCGCCCAGGCCATCAAACGTATGCCCTTGCGTCGTGCCCAACGTTTCTTGAAGGCTGTCATTGACAAGAAGGAATGCGTTCCCTTCCGTCGTTTCAACGGTGGTGTCGGCCGTTGCGCCCAAGCCAAACAGTGGAAGACCACCCAAGGTCGCTGGCCCAAGAAATCCGCTGAATTCCTCTTGCAATTGCTCCGCAATGCCGAAGCCAATGCCGACTACAAAGGTCTCGATGTCGATCGTTTGGTCGTCGATCACATCCAAGTGAACCGTGCCCAATGCTTGCGTCGTCGTACCTACCGTGCTCACGGTCGCATCAACCCCTACATGTCCTCACCCTGTCACGTTGAGGTCATCCTCACCGAAAAGGAGGAAGTTGTTGCCAAGGCCACCGATGATGAGCCCGCCAAGAAGAAGTTGTCCAAGAAGAAGATGCAAAGACAAAAGGAGAAAATGATGCGCTCTGAATAGATGTCGTAGTTGCATTCTTTTTTTAAATTTGTGTATAATTTTTTTTAAAACTAGACCTATGTTGTGGTAATTGGCTAATTTGTATAGTCAACTGCAAAGAAGAAGAAAAAAAAAACAGACTAAATAAAATGTTCAAATAAAAAAGATCCAATTTTGAACGGTGTTTTTTAAGAAAAAAAAAAGAAAATTGAAATGTTTTTTGATCATGGGGGGATTTGAGCAACTCTGGAGAGGGTATTGGAGGAAAATATCAATAGATTTTAGCTAGGCCTTGAGGTCACTTTACAGATATTAAATGCCTCCTGAAAGCCAAATAAATGTTTTTCAAAATTTTTTAGAGATACCCCGACGAGAAAAAATAGATTTTTGAAAAATTTGCCGCCAACTAAAAGAGAGAACTGTTCAGAATTCAAAGAGAATAATATAAACGGAGTTTTTAAAGATTTTAGAGGCACCCTAAGACGACTATAGACCTAAATTAGAAGGAATTTTAAAGGTGTTCCTTAAAAAAAATAAAATTGAAATCTTTGAGTTTTCGGGATTTTTGAGCACATTTTGAAAGTTTTGAAAGGGTGTTGGGGGCAAATATCAATAGTTTTTTTAGCAAAGCCTTGAGGGGCAATAAAGGTGACTATAGATATTGAATATCTTCCGAAAGCCAACTAAATTTGAATGGTTGCAAATAGTTCAAAAATAGGTTTTTGAAAATGTGGCAGGTAACTCAAAGAATCGTGAACTGTGCAGAGAGAGATGTTAGAGGCACCATCAGGACTATAGACTATATTTTCACCAAATTTAATGTACTTGCTTCTAGACTGAATTCGGTCGAATGTGCCAAAATTCAGGACTTTGCTACTGATACTTTGCCATTTGGAGCACAAATAACCTGAAATCGGTTGGAGATATATATATATATATATATATATATATATATATATATATATATATATATATATATATATATATATATATATATATATATATATATATATATATATCTAAATTTTAAAACAATCTTGACAAAATTTGATACACTTATTTCAGAGCTGTATCTGATATCAGATATCAAAGATCATTGCTGTGGAATGCATATTACGCTTGTGAGGTACTATAAACCCCAAATCGGATAAAAAAATTGGATATCTTGCGAAGCTCGAAGACGTAATTAAGCAGGATTCTTCAACGATAACGTAGCCGAATTTATGTCTGTTTTTCATAAATCTTGCGAGGAACTTGGAAGACAAAAATGGCTTGAAGAGATTTAGAGTTGCCACCTAAAGGAGAGAAATGTGTATTAAAGTTACCTATGACGACAATAAACATGGGTTTATTAAAGAGGCACCAAAAAAGGTAAGGAATAAGATTTTCCATATATTTTTGGAAGCTCCTCAAAAGATACAAAAGTGAATTTCCAGACAGGCGCCCTAAGACCCCAATGAACATGAATTCTAAGCACTCACGAAGTGTAAAAAATAAGGACTTTGACATGGACCTATAGAGGACAAAATATTAAATTCTTAAGGTTACCTCTGAAATTAAAAAGAAAAACACCCAAAAGTGACACAAAGATGACAAAACAATTACACTTCTTAGATTATTTTGAAACACCCGACCGAAAGTTATTTAAATTTCCCAAAAAGGATACCCACAAAGTACCGATAAGGATCAAATATGACGATTTCTTAGGCTTTTAAAAAGGATCTCAAATCTAATTAATTCGGCCAGTTTTCAAAAAATGTGCACTGGACACGAAGTTGGGTTTCTTAGCATTTTTTGAAGGGCTTTGACGGATTTCTAAGAATATAATATGAGATTTTTGAGGGCAGAGGAGAATTTCTCCTCTGCCCTCAATTCGCGAAGAATTCCTTGTGTAGAATTTCAAATAATTCCATTGAAAAATGTGGCTCAAATCATCAAAATACCAAATGTTGTTAAAATCATCAAAAAAATCATCAAATACCGACCGATATAGCCCATCTTCCAACTTGACCTGCGTGCAGACCAAAGACAGATCGGTGCAAAATTTTAGCTTTCCGTCTTTATTCGTTTTGACTCTAGCGTGATATCGTCTTAGAATTTTACTCTGATCCAGAATATATATATATACTTTGTATATATACAAACGGAATGACGAACTTAATATACCCTGCATCCGATGTATGGTGGAGATTATAGAAATGCAGCACACGGCAGCACCACCTAATTCCAACTGCCACTCATCACAAATTCCTATTAGCCGTACGTTCGTGTACTTTATCATAGGTGTGTTCTCTGCCATAATCTATTCGTAGGCTTTGTTTTATTTGGAAAAAATTTGCTTTTTTGTGGAACCTAAATTTTCCACAGTATCTGCAAGAATCTGTTGCTTTTGCAAGTTTTTTCCGATATCATAAAGGGAAAATCGGTTATCGTAGTAAAAACGTTTACCTTCTTGTAGTCCTAGAACAGACAAATACATTCTTCTGATCATGTTGCAAACTCACTATTTCATTATATTTTCACGCTATGTTCAAATAATTTCAAAACATTGGATTCACCTCTAACACATATTTTGCCCATTTCTTTTTTAGTTTGCAATAGTTTTAAACCTTTTCCACGTTATGTTTTCTTTTTATTTGTTCTTATTTTCTTCTGTTTTCCCTCTATTTCACTCTATTTGTGTGTGTTTAAACAGTCAATTTCCGCTTTTAATTGGTAACGTTTTGTTTTCTCTTTAAGTGCAATGTAAACACTGTAAATCCTCTATAAATAATCAACATAAAACGGAGCATACTTTTAGGCGTTTATATTACAAAGATTTATTTCTTTAAAATATGCACAAAACATTGAAATTGTATAACATTGGCGCAAAAAATTAACAAAATTTTATATGTACAGTGGCTCTCAGCACTTTGTGTACTATTTTTGCACAGTGGTACAACTTTATTTGCTACGAGTCAAAGATTTTCATTCTTTTAAGTCAATGTTAATTTTTTGTGAATAACGAGACAGGAGTTCATATATTTCAGCAGATTTCATATATTTCCCACATTTAAGATGACAAGAAATGGGTATATTTTACAGTTTTTAGAGGGAGGGAAAGTGAAAAAATAATATTGTTTTTTCATTTACTTTAGTAAGACTCAAAGGTGACATAGTGTATTTTAGAGATCACAGAAACGTAGACTTTTCGAAATACTCAAGCGAGGATGACCTTGGAGATGTTTGAAGTTTAAAGTGGATTATTTGAAATGGGAAAATATGAAAAAAAAGTAATTTTTTCAAGATTTTATGGGGACAAAAAATTACAATATCGTGAAGTTTTGCAAGGATTTCAGGTGTAGAAGAGAATAAAACATTTTTTTTCATTTCGTGGTACCAAACGTTGACTTTGTTGTGGATTTAAGTTTAATGGTTAAAATTCTGAAACTTTCCTATTTCGAGACAACCTGCCACAAACTTCCCACAAAATAAATTTGACTGGCCATTCGGACAATGATCTGTTTATCAAAAAAAAAAAAAAAAAAAAAACAAGTAAAAAACTGTAAATTGGCCGGGCCGAACTTTGAATACCCTCCACCATTTGGAATGAATTTGACAATTCTCACAATAAAATCCGTTAAAAATTATGTTAAAATCTTAAAAATACCGAATGTAGCTGTTATATTATGGTCTATACGACGACATGGGCCTGCATAGGTAACTTTTGTCATAAGACATTACAATATTCAAATGCGAAACTTAAAACAAATCTTAGAATAATGATGCTAAAATCATCAAAATACCGAATATCGGCAGGTACCATTATATGGGGGCTATACGAAGACGTGGATCTACACAGAGAGTTTTCTGTTACAGGCTGTAGCATCCATTACGAACTTCAAATACCAATTTTGAAACAATTCCGGTAAATAATGTCGCTAAAATCATCAAACTACCGAATATCAGGAGGTGGCCTTATATGGGGCCTATACGAAGACCTGGACCTACACGGAGAGTTTTCTGTCACAGGCTGTAGCATCCATTACGGACTTCAAATACAAATTTTGAAATAATTCCGTTGAATAATCTCGCTAAAATCATCGAAATATCAAATGTCAGGAGGTGGCCTTATATGGGGGCTATGCCAAAACGTGGACCGATATATCTCGTTTTCAATACCAACCATCCTAGACATAATACAAATTATTTTGCCAAATTTTGAAGCTCTACGTCAAACAATGCAGGCTGTAACGTGACATCGTTGAATCGACTTAGAATTTTATGCTGATCATGAAAATATGTAATTTATGGGGTCTGCGACGAATATTTTAAGGTGGAGGGTATAAAAATATTGTGATGTGTGTAGTTTGTAGAGAATCGGATGCTTATTTCGGATTTTATGATCGTTTTTTGTTATTCAAAACGTTGACCCTTTGTGGGGGAGGTACCAGAAGGAATGGTGCGATCTCTAAAATCTTTATAACAGATCTTGCGTTGATGAAAATATTGAGATGTGCCAAGTCTGAATGGAATCGGATGTTAATTTCGTGTTTTATGAGCTTCGTGGATATCGAAAATGTTGATCCTTTTGTAGGGGAGGTACCAGAAGGAGTGGACCGATGTATTCCTTCTTCACATTAGACCTTGGATTAATTTCGGTTTTTATGATCGTTTTTTGTTACTCAAAACTTTGACCCTTTGTGTGGGAGGTACCAGAAGGAATGGTCCGACCTCTAACATCTTTATAACAGATCTTGCGTTGATGGAAAAAGTGAGGGGTTCCAAGTCTGAATGGAATCGGATGTTAATTTTGTGTTTTATGAGCTTCGTGGATATTGAAAATGTTGATTCTTTTGCAGGGGAGGTACCAGAAGGAGTGGACCGATATATTCCATTTTCACACCAGAACTGGGGTTAATGAAAAAATTGCGATGTGTTGAATTTAAAGAGAATAGGATGCTTATTTCGGATTTTATAATCGTTTTTTGTTTTTGAAAATGTTGAACCTTTGTGTGGGAGGTGCCAGAAGCAGTGGACCGATGTATTCCATCTTGACACCAGACCTTGGGTTAATAAAATTATTGGGATGTACGAAATTTGAAGTGAATCGGACTCTTACATCACAGTTTACAAGTGTTTTAAATTATTCAAAATATTGAGCCTTTGTGGGGGAGGTACCAGAAGGAGTGGACCGATATTGTCCATTTTCACACCTGACCTAGCACC